ACTGGCTCCCGTCGTTCTCGTACCACGCGACCGTGTCGTCCCAAGCGGACGCCGACAGCGCGTCGACGTCGCCGTCGCCGTCGACGTCGATCGCGAAGACGGAGTAGGCAGCGTTCGCCAGCGTCGAGATGACGCGCTCGGCGAAGGACTGGGACCCGTCGTTCTCGTACCACGCGACCGTGTCGTCGTAGTGGGACGCCGACAGCGCGTCGACGTCGCCGTCACCTTCGACGTCGATCGCGTAGATGGACGTGGCGCTGTCCGCCGAGTCGGTGATGACGCGCTCCGTGAAGGACTGCGAGCCGTCGTTCTCGTACCACGCGACCGTGTCGTCGCGGAAGGACGCTGACAGCGCGTCGACGTCGCCGTCGCCGTCGACGTCGATGGCGAAGACGGAGCGGGCTATGTCTGCGAGCGTCGTGATGACGTGCTCGGTGAAGGACTGGGAGCCGTCGTTCACGTACCAGGCGAGCCGTCGTTCACGTACCAGGGGACTCGTGCCGTACTCAAGGCGACCCGTGCCGTCCCAGCCGGACGCCGACAGCGCGTCGACGTCGCCGTCGCCGTCGACGTCGATCGCGAAGACGGAGGTGGCGTAGTCCGCCAGCGTCGTAATGACACGCTCCGTGAAGGACTGGGACCCGTCGTTCTCGTGCCACGCGACCGTGGCGTCACTCCAGGAGCGGTCGACAACATTGGTGTAGGGGTCGCAAAAGTAGGCGTAGTTGTTGGCGTAGCCCGTCCACTGCCACCCGCAGCCCGGATCGTAGTAGTACCTCCTGTCGTCGTAGTAGTAGTAGGACGCCGACACCACGTCCACGTCGCCGTCGCCGTCGACGTCGATCGCGAAGACGGCCTCGGCACCGTCCGCCGAGTCGGTGATGACGCGCTCGCTGAAGGCGACGCTCGCGCAGGAGTCGCCCATGCGTGGGGCTGGCGTCGTCGGGGACGGCGTGGTGGGACACGGCGTCGGGTCTGGCACCGGAGCGGCCGTGGGCCGCGGCGTCGGGGCGGGGTCCGCGTGCGTAGAGCCGCCGCCGCAGGCGCAGCACATGTCGTTCGAGTCGAAGTCCGAATCGTCGTAGTCGCCGCACCAGTGCGTGTTCCCAACATAGTCGGAACACGAGTCTCCGTCGCTGTCGGTAGCCCCCCCGGACGAGTCCTGGCACACTGTCGATTCCAGCGTCTGTGAGGAGCCCGTGCCGCAGTCGTTCTCGTACCACGCGACCGTGTTGTCGTTTCGGGACGCCGAAAGGGCGTCCACGTCTCCGTCACCGTCGACGTCGGCCGCGAAGACGGAGCGGGCGCTGTCCGCGAGCGTCGTGACGACGCGCTCGGTGAAGGACTGCGACCCGTCGTTCTCGTACCACGCAACCGTGTCGTCATACTGCGATGCCGAGAGCGCGTCGACGTCGCCGTCGCCGTCGACGTCAATGGCGAAGACGGAGATGGCGAAGTCCTCCGAGTTCGAGAGGACGCGCTCGGTGAAGGACTCGGCCCCGTCGTTCTCGTACCACGCGACCGTGTCGTCGTCGTAGGACGCCGAGAGGACGTCCACGTCGCCGTCGCCGTCGACGTCGATCGCGAAGACGGACACGGGGCTGTCCGCGAGCGTCGTGACGACGCGCTCGGTGAAGGACTGCGACCCGTCGTTCTCGTACCACGCGACCGTGTCGTCCTCGAAGGAGGCCGAGAGCGCGTCGATGTCGCCGTCGCCGTCCACGTCGACTGCGAAGACGGAGTAGGCGCTGTCCGCCGAGTTAGTGATGGCGCGCTCGGCGAAGGACTGGGACCCGTCGTTCTCGTACCACGCGACCGTGTCGTCGCCCGCGGACGCCGACAGCGCGTCGACGTTGCCGTCGCCGTCCACGTCGATCGCGAAGACGGAGTGGGCGCCGTCCGCCGAGTTAGTGATGACGCGCTCGGCGAAGGACTCGGAGCCGTCGTTCTTGTACCACGCGATGGTGTCGTCTTTATAAGACGCCGAGAGCGCATCGACGTCGCCGTCGCCGTCGACGTCGACCGCGAAGACAGAGCGAGGGCTGTCCGCCGCGTCAGTGATGACGCTCTTCGTGAAGGACTGGGACCCGTCGTTCTCGTACCACGCGACCGTGTCGTCGTTGATTGACGCCGAAAGCGCGTCGACGTCGCCGTCGCCGTCGACGTCGATCGTGAAGACGCTCCGGGCGTAGGTCGCCGAGTCGGTGATGACGCGCTCCGAGAAGGTGACGCTGGCGCAGGAGGCGCCCACGCCGTCGACGGCCCAGCACACCAGCACAAGAAGGCCACGTGATGCGCCGATCAGGCCGCCCCCGGGGCGCAGCTCGCGGCCCGCCACGTCGCGGCGCCCACCGCGCGCCCGGGGCGGCCCGCGGCGGCCCGTCGCCCGCGCTGGTCCGTCGCTAGTGTCGCATGCCATTATTACGGGTCCGCTGCCGGCATTCCACCCTATCAGGATAGTGGCCGAAGATGAAAATTCGCGATATTAGTGCTCGGCAACTTGAAGCGAAAGCAAATCGTAACGCGGGCCCGCGGCGAGCTCTAGCCCTGGCGTCGAAGCGCGGTTTCCCGCATGATCGACGCTTCGGAGGTCCCTCGGGACTGGGCCAAAACTCAGAGGCCTGGGCACAGTGCCAGTGTTTGAGGTCCCCCGTTAGCCCCCCGTGTCGCTCCAGAAGCAGCGCGTCGCGTAGAGGCCCGCGAGGCCGACGACGACGTAGGCGGCGTTGCGCGCCTCCGAGGCCGGCGCCGGGGCGACCCCGGCCGTCGCGAGGTCCTCGTCGACGAGGTACCAGAACGCGGAGAGGTGCGCGTAGTAGCCCGGTTCACGAGATGTTCACCTTGCACTTCGCGATTTTGTGAATCCTGGTGATGTCGATCGTCTCGTGATCGTGGCTGCCAGTAAATTTAGGTGTGGGAAGTCAGCGAAGTGTTACACCCTGCCCGCCGTAGGCACATGGCGCTCCTTCTCATCGTCGGCGCCGCGCGCGCGCTCGCGGACGCCCCCCCCCTTGCCAACTGCACCCCGGCGCCGGCTGAGGCCCCGGTGTGCGTCGCGTCGCGCTGGGCGGAGGCGGCGCTGACGCCAGACTTGCTCGCCGCGCTGCGCGACCGCAAGGAGAACCACAAGTGGGACCACGCGCTCGCGCACGACTGCCGGGAGCCCCGGCCGCCCGAGGCGGTCGTCGTCGACGGCGTCGTCGACGGCGCCGCGGCCTGGAGCCGGGAACGCGGAACGTGCGTGGCGCACTGGCGCGGCTGCCGGCCCAAGGAAGCCGCGGCCGCGCCAACCTGCGGCTGCCGGCGGGTCGCGGCGCCCGTGGTGAGCGTGGCGACGCACTGGGGCGGCGAGATCTGGCACCTCGTGATGGAGAGCCTCGCGGGCCTCGCGTCCGTCCGGGGCGCCGGCCTCGGCGCGAACGGCACGGCGCTCCTCCACGTGACCCAGACGTCGCCGCGCGTCGGCGGCGCGCCGCTCCTCGGGAGCCTGCTACGGCGCCTCGGCTACGGCCACCTCGCCGCCCAGCGCCGCGTCGTCGACGGCTGCGTCGCCTCGCCCCGCCTGACGCTCGCCCGCACCGGCCGCTGCGGGGCCCCCTCCGCGGCCCACCTCCGCTGGCTCGAGGCGCGCTTCCGCGCGGCCGCGCCCGCGCGGCCGACGCCGGGCGCCGCGCTCCTCGTCACGCGCGCGGGCGACGGCCCGCACCGGCGCGTGCGCAACTGGGGCGCGGTGCGCGCGGTGGTCGAGGCGCGCTTCGACACGGTGCTGCACCACGACGACGCCGGCGACATCGGCTCCCTCGACGACCAGCTCGACCGCTTCGCGCGCGCGGAGGTCGTCGTCGCGCCGCACGGCGCCGCGCTCGTCGGGCTACCGGCCACGGCGCCGGGCGCGTGCGTCGTCGAGTACCTCCCGGAGAACTACCTGAACCTCTGCTTCGCCGGCGTCGCGCGGCGGCTCAACCGCACCTACCGCGCCGCGCGCGTCGACGCCCGGGGCGAGGCCGACGTCGCCGCGCTCCCGGCCATGCTCGACGCCTGCGTCGCGGCCCGCGGCGCGCCCGCGCCCGCGCGCGTACCTGTGTCCACGCCCGGCGGCGCCGCGGTCCGCGCGGCCGTGGCCGCGGCGCTCCTCGACGCGCCGCCACCCCAACTCCCGCGGACCGCGCTCTGCGTCGTCGGCCAGGAGCGGACGTTTGCGCACCCGCTCGTCGCCGCCTCCATCGGCCGCCTCGCGCGCCTCGAGGAGCCGAACGGCCGCCGGGCGGCGCCGGACTTCCGCGCCGACGTCTTCCTCGCGCTCGCCGCGGCCCCGTCGCCGGACGCCGCGGCGGCGCTCGCGGCCATGGGCGGCGAGCTCGTCGCCGTCGGCGGGGATACCGACGGCAGGTGGCCGAACTGCACGGGTCCCGGGGGCGCGGCCGGCTACTCGATGCCGTGCATGGGCCAGTGGGCCAAGTTCGCCGCGTGCGCTCGCGCAGTCGAGGCGCGCGAGGACGCTACCGCCCGGCGCTACGACGTCGTCGTCAAGCTCCGCACGGACGCCGCGGTGCCGTTTCAGTCCGGCCGCCTGGCCGAGTTCCTCGCGGGGCCCGTGCTCGCCGCCGCCGCGGCGGGCGCGCGCGCCGCGTGGCTCCACCCGGCGCCCGGCATGGAGGACACACTCGCGTTCCTCGCGCGGCCCGCGCTCGGCGCGCTGCGCGAGTTCTACGACTGGCGCGGCGCCCGGTGCCTGAACGACACGATCGGCTGGTGCAACCCGTCGATGGCCTACTACGCCGCGAAGGCGGCGAACGTCACGCTCCTCAAGTACGACACCCGCGTCGTGCACCCGGAGATCCAGCGCACGTTCCCCGACGGCTCGGCGGCCCCGCACGAGCATCACTTGAAGATGTGTACGAGTTCCGGGTGCACATGGACGGATCGCCGACTCGAACGTCCATGAGCCTACGGTAACGGGCGCGGGCGTAGATTGCGTATGTATATTGGGTATTTCGGGTCCGCGGAAAGGTTCAAGTTCTGGAGGGCTTCTGGAGGGCTTCTGGCACGTGGTTTGGGGCGGGTCGCGCCCCCTCAGTGTGGGAAACAACGTACGCCTAGGCCGGCCCACTCGAAATAAGTAAGTAAGTATTATTTATTGTTTCCCGGCGGCGGCGGGCGGGAAACTACACCTCCTGAAAATCGGCCAAGCCGCGGGGCCAGAGGCAAAATTGGCGAATTATGGCCACGCCGAAGATAACCAACCAAGATTGCGCGCTAAACGTATTAATCAAGGAAATTTGAGAGCGCGGGTCGCTGGTTCGGGTCGACAAGACGCCTACGGCTTACTTGCCCCTGCCGGGGGGGCTTGCCTGCGGCGCGGCGAGAGCGCGCCCTTCGGGCGCGCTCGCGCGTGCTGAGCCACTCATTCCCGTGTCAATGCTTCCCTCTGCACCGCTCGCGCGACGACAGCCATTTAATTTCCGTACGGCGGGGGAACCGGCACGCACAACTCACGCATATATATATGGACAAGCGTGTAGCATATCTTCAAGTTGATGTGCAATGTTTATTTAAGGTTGAAGATATAAGTACCAGGTAATTGTTGGAGCGATTTTGTTTCCCACACTGCGCCCCCTAAGGCGTGGGCGGCGCGTCAGAGGTCCCCCGCAAGGCGTGAGCGGCGGTGTTGAGGTCCCTTTTGAAGGGCAAGCGGCTGTGTTGAGGTACCTGTTGAAGTACAAGATTTGAAGTTGAAGTCCAAGTTGAAGCGGCTTTTAACATATCTCGCCGGCGGATATGTTAGGGGGGAGGGGGGGGGGGGGGGATTGCCGCCGTCAGTCGTCGCGGACGGCGTCGGCGAC